AAACTATGTTAATGAATCAGTACTAGTCTAGAGTATTTTTAAGGATTGCCTAGTTAAGATGTGGTAGGAGCATGGGAATGGTCTCTTCGTCTCTTATCTAGGGATGTTTTAAGAATAAATTAGATGGGAAAGTTGACTAATGAAATGAGAGTAATCTTATGTTAGGTATCCTAAAGGATCTCTTAGGTGTGTATGAAGGGAATGTATGGGCGGTTGCTTCACTCAAGTGAGCCTTAGAATCACCTTTGGTAGGAGGATATCATGTTTATGTGTTTGATGTGTTCTTAATGCTATCTTGTTATATATGAGTTATAGGTGAAGTTACAATCAAGTTCGCTGTAATGTTATTGTAATGTAACTTTAATTTGATATAAATTGATTATGACTTGTAATGTGTTCTAATTGTAATTTTTGTGTTTAAATGTGATTCTTATACTTTTAATATCATGATTTAATCAAAAAGAGCATATTTATCATAAATGTCCGTTTCTCATGATTTTATGCATTATGTCATACTTAGTACATGAATTGTATTAATTCGATACATTTTATCTATCTCTAAAGTTTAGGTGGAAGGTAAAAGTTGTCTTTAATCAAAGCTGGAAAGTAGGACTCTTTTAAGCAAAGCTTGGAAACTAGGAATCTATCTTAGACTGCTTTTATTAAATGTATTGCAATAGACTATGTATTTCTATATTTTTATTTTATGGGCCGTGTCCCAAGTATTCTTGAGTCTAAGATTGGAATATGTTGAGACTTAGTATTTTCCTATGATTTTATATGAAAGATGTTTATAAGATATTTCGTGTGAAAACATTCAATTCCACACTACTTTTCATACATGTATGCAATAATTGATGTCTAAGGGCTTGTACAAGACCTCCGAGAGGTCAAGTAAGCCATGTTGCAAGTCCGAGAACATCATATCTTCTAGGGTGTACTCCCGGGATGTGACACATGACCTGATTGAACAATGTATAGAGCTGCTAAAATTAGTACAACTAATGAAATGAATAAAATAAGTACACACTCGACTCAATGAGTTGAACTAGGACTCCATCATATCATCCGCTACTTTTGGAAGACCCGTTGTATAATAAAAATTAACTCTTTTGTTTGGCGCTGGGATCATACATCTAGAAAATTAAATGTCTAGTGTATCATGAACACAAAAATCATAGGTACCTAAAGTGCATCAGAGGACAACTATGCTCGGAGAGCATATACATAATGAAAAGAAACGAAATAAATAGTAGCTAAGGGTCAAAAGAAAAACACAAAGTCTAATTATACACCCTGGAAAATCTAGCAAGAAGCAAATGACAATGTAAAGCTGCCAAATACAACCTAACTAGAGCCCATAAGCCATGAAGGTACACTTATGAGCAATTCAATTGAAAATAACCCAAATATATTCCTATAAGCGCAATGAATACACACAAGATCTAATGATATCCCAAGATTCAAAAAATGAAGCTAAAAAAACCCAACACTGGACCTGGAACCATAACTAAAGAACCTTGAAAAACCAAATAGACTAGAGTTTTCATAAGTGAAACACGACTAACAAAAGCATGCCTAGACTTAACCTATGACTGACCAAAATCCACATAAACTCCAACAATAGAAATTTTAAATGCTCACAAATCTCAAACCAAGGCTAAAATACTCTGAAGAATATCCATAGTCACATGCTCATCAACAATCCGAAGACACTTTAGAACAAAACCATCATCGTAGTTACAAGGGACGTACTCTCAGTTAGAACCCATGACCTGATCAAAAGTAACCTATAAGGCCCAAAAATAATAACTGAAACGTTCAGGGGCATAAAATAAGTGAGCAATGGACAAAATTCCAATAGGAGTAGAGTTGTCACCTAGCTAATGATTCATACTACCAGACTCATGTTTGCTACATTGGTCTACAACGAGCTAGACTTGCCTAAAGCAACATTGGGCGATTCCTAATACATTATAACTAAAAAATAGCAATTCTGATGCAATCACTAGACTAGTTCTAGAATAAGGGTATTAATAAGTTATAATTAACAATTCAAAAGGACACACATATACAACAAGGCATAATACAACATCGCAATACAATAGAAATGTTTAAATATTTCGACTATTACCCAAAATAATAGCTAAGGTAGGACTTCAAATAAATACACATGAAACAAGATAAGAGCCCTGCCAAAAAAAGCTAAACATCATGAAAACACTTACTCAAGATCAATCTATCATTGGAAATCCAAACCCAACATCAAAGTCGATCATCTATGCTCTAAAATAAACTTAGGTGGAGCTTTACCCTTCAAAAATGCCTTTGATCACTGCCACACAATAAAAAATGATAATAACGTCAATACAAATGTTTTGACACCAAATCTACTAAAACTGAAGACAGAAATAAAAATAAGAGAAGATGAAATTGTGGAACTTCAGGGACGAATCCACTAATCTACTCAATATATTGGTCCCATAAGCTGAGGTAGATTGGGCACAAAAAGTGGGATTTAACTACCAGCTAAAGTCGCTTAAGTGTCACTTTTCCACCTAAGTGGCCTGTCAAAGTGAAACCTTTATCACTAAAGTGATTGAATCCTTGCTAGAGGCTCTAGCAGCTAAAATAATCATCCCTTAAGCATTTCATGTTCACTAATGGAGGTATCCCTTTAATAGGAAGGCCTATTTAAGAGGATCCTTGGATGCTTAAGTTATAAGTGCTTAAGAGGTGCCAAGATCGCATTGGCAGCTACACCAAGATCAAGCATCAAGAAATATTGGTATGCCTTACAAGACTCTGCCCGGATGCTCATACTATCCCAGAAATTGTGATATTCTAGTATTACCATATATGAAAAAAAAATCTCAAAGGAGTTCATGTCACCAAAGAGTGAGTTATGCACCCAAGGTTTTATTAAGCCATAAGCTACAATTTTGCTCGAAATGAGTAAAAAAGGACAAGAACTCGAACCAAAAGACTACACAGGCAAAACTCAACTTTTTGCAGCTAATAGAACATACTTCATCACATTCAATGTCTTTATTCATGATGTTTCAATAAAAAGCAATCGTTCAAGTTCAAACAACTCTAAAGTACAACACATCCATAGAAACCAAATGAAAAAACAACTAATCGAACGGTCAGTCCTAACAAGTAATAAATGACTTAAGTAAGTTCTAAAAGAAACTAACAACAGAATACGCGAAATGACCTAAAGGGTCATTATAAAAATAAAAGCATGGCAGTATATGTATATCCTATAAAAAAAAAAAGATCCTCAACATTTTCGTTACTGTATTTGAATAATTCATATATCATCATCATTTATATTCCTAGGGATTACAATGGGGGAAGACAGGGCGACACAGATTGAGCTTAACCTGCAAATTTTGAATCAACCCTGTCCCACTCCACATAACATTCTTTTTCTTTTTCAACCTGCCCCACCCCAACCCGCGTATACCCGCTCCGGGTGAACCTCCATTGCATAATTTTTTTAAATTTTTTTTCTAGTTATGCTAGATACTAAAAATAAAATTTATATTTTCATTAATTTGTATTATTTAATGGGAATCTGACAAAAAAAATTATAGGTCAATTGGGTAACATGTAAGAAATCGATTTATTTTTTATTGAGCCATTTTCATGTACTATCTTGAATATTTTAGTAGCTTTTATGAAATTATCTTAATAAATTAATAATTTTCTATTATAAGAACTCACTTAAACCCACCGCGTCACACACAACCTTAAATCCGCCCCATCCCGCATAGCCTTAAATCCGCCCGTTGCCATCCATATAAAATATGTAATAATAAATAGAGGAATATATCCCATATAATAATCATAAATATTTTTAGATACTAAAATGATATTAAACAATTACCTAAAAGGATGAAAAAGTGTCATCTACAAGAAAAGTAAAACCACTGGTAGATAATTTCATAGATGAAAATGAGGTGCTTTGTAATTCATATAAACCATACTTTACAAATCTCATATGTATCTAATCATCAAAAGAAAAATGGCATGCACATACAAATATTTTTATAAGCATTTTGCTTTAATAAATTATATCAAACAAAAAGGTTAACAAACGATCATAGTTATCTATTTACTTTTATTTAATAGACAATCAAAATAGAAGGAACATTCATGAAAGCATAAATATGAAAATTACTGACCCTTTGTAGAATAATTAAATAGTACATCGACTTTAAAAACTAGATTGGATTGCTCATGACCCTCTGCTATACTAAGGAAAAAACAATGATAAAATAAAAATACAAAGCTAGACATTTTTACAGCAAATTTAATTGTTTTAAGGTATAGCAGGAGAACCACTACAAGAAAATTGTGAATTAAATGGATATTATTGTGGGAATTAGAATGAAAATTTGCAAGAAACTTATTTTTCTGCAAATTTTCATACTAATTCTCAAAAAATCCTCATGTAATATATTGTTTTCTTGTAGTGCGGCTTCTAAAATTTTCTAAATATATATTTGAAAGTAAGTATTTATAATAGATTTTTACCAATAGGAATGTCTTTTTAATGGAAAACCAAAATTTGGCACTTCAAATTGATTTGAAAGAAACATTTAATATTATTTTATTTTGTGATTTGGATTGATTTTGTTAGATTTTCATGTGATTTTGTCCTAATATTGCTAATAAAGGTGAAGTTTTCTTTGCTTTGGTGATGAACGGTAGTTGAAATCTTTTGAAAAGGTATATAGAAGGTTTAATTTGGAGTTAGTAAATAAGAACAAGTGTTGCTTAATTAATATTTTAGTCTAAGCATTTCAGTGGTATTTGTGGATATGATTGGGTGCAAGTACACTTCGGTGAAGTTTAAGAAATAGGACTAACTAGTTCAAGCTAGGTATTGTTGGGGTAAAGATTAATTTGAGTAGTGATTTTTCAAACAGACTTTATCATTTTTAAGATGAGGGGCGTACGTCGAACTTATGTATTGAACAAAAATATTGTAATGTGTAATATTTGTTAGTTTTATTAGACTTAAGTCATATGATACATTGCAGAATACATATAATAGTACTATTGTTGAATGAAATAAAACGAAGAAAATTTTATTGGTCCATAGTCTAAACATTTGAATCTGATGATGTACAAAACGAATCGGAGTTATTATTGTGCGTGATGATAGGTGCCTTGTCTGAAACAGTCCAAACCTTTACAGATTTATCAAGACTTCCACTATAAACGACCCATTTCTGATCTGTTTCAGTGGATTCTTTATCTTCTTCTACTGCTAGACATTTTACTGGCCCATTATGACCACTCAATACAGATAACAATGTGTGTATAGACTTCTTGTCCCTTCTCCAAACACATATTGTTTTATCAGCTGATCCACTGAGTAGCAAATTTCCAGCTGCTGCAAGGCATAAAATAGCCAATTTGTGTCCCTTTAGCACTCCACCATGTGATAATTGCTTCTCTCGTTCCCAGAAATTCACAACACCATCAGATGAACCACAGTATACTACTGAACCAGATTTGCTAACAACTAATGCTGTCACTGCACATTCTTGATTCAAAAGTGTTTGAACAAAAACATGTTTTGGGTGTTTCCCTGTGTTTTCCCTCTGCCAAACCTTCACTGTTCCATCAGCTGATCCTGTATACACTATGCCTTCAACACTCGTAACCACTGAGTTCACTGCATCATCATGTGCTTTCACTGATTCTATGCATTTCGAGTTATCAACGTTCCACACCTATTAATTAGAACATTATGTATTTTCTATTAATTAGATGACGATGGCATATAATTGAAAATAACATAGATACTTACCTTAAATGTTCTGTCCCATGAAGCTGAATAGAGAAGGCCACGCGTTTGATCCATACTCAAGCATGATATGGCATCAACGTGCTTGATCCATAAACCACTCCTATTTCTCTTGACTTCCACATAGTTGCTAGGCTTAATGGATGCCTTGAAAATATCAAAGAAACTAGGCAAAGTCCCAGCACGTTTGTAGGTACCTGGATTCTTGGTTTGGATTTTCCAAACACGAACTTTTCCATCTTGATGACCTGTGAATATTTTCTCTCCTGAAATGATGATGGCTTTTACAAGTCCGCTATTTGATTTAAAAGCTGCGAATTCCTTGAGATTCTTCCACACACGTATATTCTTACTATCGGATCCTGTGTAAAGAAGATCGTTTTTTGTAGCCAAAGAATAAATGTGTCCCTCTTCCCGCACAAGTGAACCAATAAGTCCATTAATATTATTATTATTATTGTTTTGGGAATTATTGTTACCCTCATCAAATTTGGACCATGGAGACCCTTGGTTCCATGGAGACATCATCATAGGAGACCCTTCACCGCTAAGACGATTTGCTTCATATGCAGAGAAACTGCTGTGTCTTGCATTGAAATTATTATTATCATCGTCAATATGTGAGCTTGATATGTTTGGATCCGAGTGAACAGTGTTTCCTAATTTAGGAGGCAAATGGCTTGTATCAACAAACATTATGTGCTTAATTGGCCTTCTCACAACAAACAATCTCTTAGTAGCTAGGCTGGCAAGAAAAGGCAAAGGAAAAATGGATTAACAAAGTATACAAGAAATAGAATGTTTGGAACGACATCAATGGAAGGAAGAGAGTGGAAGAGAGATTTTCTAGGGAATTGCAAACTAGAGGCCATAAATTTTGAGTCTATGCAACATTTTCTATTATTCACCTCAAAAGTTTAGTCCTTATATCAATATAATTTATGATTACGTCCACTTGTTTTGAGAAGCACATAATTAATATTATTCTAATATTTTATAACGACAATAAAAACATATATCAGGTTAAATTGATGATTTTATTTTCGGCGAAATTGTTTGATAAACTCTTATATTTGTATGAGTTTGTATTCTAAACCTTTTTACTCAATATTTTGTAAACTAGACCCTTAAATTTATTAAAACAAGATATTTGAAATCCCTCTGACTATTGACCAAATCTATGTGACATACGTATTGTTGAGTTGGAAAATTGTGTTACTACACCCATTTCCAAGCGCGTAAATACATTATATATTATGTTAAAATATAATTTTTTAGTATAAAACTTGTTTCTTTATTTATCCACTCCCAATGAGTGGACCTACTCGAAAGAAGGAAAAAGAAGGTGGTTGGGGGCTCTTTCCATTCCTAACCCTATGTTTTCTTCCCTTCTTCTTCAATAAAATCACCCACCTTACCTATTCTTTTTTTCTTTCAAAATCTCTGGTCATACATGAATTGGTGCTCAAATAGTATACATATATAAAGATGGAAGAACATGACAATTTTTAAAAAAAAATTAAATTTTCAAAAGTTAATTTGATTTTTTTTATTTTCTTATTATTTAATTTTTGACATGTCACTGAAAAATGACATAGAATTACATGTGTAAAAGGTTGAATTATACACACAAATAGTGTATGATAAAAGGGTTCAAAGTAAAGTGTTTTAACGAATTCAAGAGATTAATTGACAAAATTAAGTGAGAAGATTCAGATTATAAACGCATACAAGATATAAGGATTCATCAGATCATTTCACCTTTATTTTCTATTTATCTTCTTGTGCACTGCATGGCGTCGGGTCTACAGAACATCAACATGCTATTAAATATATTTTTTCTGTTTTATGAATAACAATTTATTACCTCTTGTCATATAAATAATATTATCGATTAAATATTTGACAACTATAATTTAAAGTTGCTCAATAGTTTCCGTCTATTTTTTCTGACGGTGAAGAAATGTTGATATTTTTTTAAAAAAAATATAAATACGATAATTCATATGAAAAAAATGTTGAAAAATAGAAAAAGCCTGAAAAGAGGAGATAAAAATGAATAAAATTGCTAGCTTAAAAATGAGTTAAACACAAATGTCTATTAAATTGATTAGCTTTAAAAGAGCACTGTAAACACGTAAAGTTTTTATCGAACATAAAATTTTACACCATTTTAGTAGTTAATAATTCTTTTATACTTAATTTAAGTATTTTGGTTTAATAATATTTTAAGAAGTTTATTGTAAAAATATTTGAAAACCACAAAAATAAAGTCATGTTCGTAAGTTAAGATTTTTTTCTTCAATTTATTCAAAAGAGAAGAAAATGATAAAAAGTATTTGTTTTCTTGTATTGTATATTTAAAAAATAAACTAGTGTTTCTCAATTATATTTTTTAATTAGCTATTAACTTTTCTAAAATTTATATTAATTTCAAAAAAATAAGATTCTATCTTCTATACTACCTTAAAAGCATATACACCCTAACATGAATGTTAAATTATTATAATATCTCCAACATAATAGTTGACACATTCTCACATTAATGCGTAATAACATTTGGAACGTTTAAAACTTTTTCAATGAGTTATGTTTATTTCTTGGGGCTGCGACTTATCTGATAGGTATAATACATATATATGCCCTTTAAATTTGCTTCAAATCACATTTATGCCCTTCAACTTTTAGTATCCACAAGTAGCTACTTTAACTTGTATAAAGTTGAACAAATAGACACATATCTCTTACATCCTACATGTCATTATTTTTTTCTACTTGTGTTGTGTCACGTTGGACGCATGTGTCTACATGTTCAATTTTATACAAGTTAACTGTTACTTATGCATATCCAAAGTTGAAGAGCATAATGTGAAATGAGGCCAATTTTAATGGAAAATTTATACATTATGCCTACATGATAAAGCACGATAAGAACCTTTGAAATTTTACTTCTATCATTTGTTTTCTACAAATAGAGAGGTGATCTCACACTTTTACACTGCAAATATTATGTTTTCTATTCATCTTCTTAGACAAGAAAAACTGTGATATTTGTTCAATTATACAATTACAACTACATTTTTAGGTAAACTAGATAAAACAATAAAATCTGATGCCACAAGGAGAATGAAACTGCGCAACCTCAAACTAGAAGATTATCTAGATAATTTATATGTCCTCATTTTCATAATAATAAATATATTTTTACAACAACTTCAACATGACAAGAAGTTAATTGATTTTCGATTAAACAAACGACAACTTGGTGTACAAGTTGTGCAAAGTCTTGTGCTAGTCAAGAAAAAAGATTTAATCGAAAATTGATTTGAAGAATCCAAACAAGATTTAGTAGGTACTCATCTGTTTCCAAGTTATTTTTTGTAATTTTATTTTTTGTTCAGTTTAATATGTAATGTTCTTTTTTCCTTGAGGTGGGGCACATTTTAAGGCCACAAAGTTAAAAGACGTTCTTATCTATTCTACATATCCTTAAATTAAAACTCTTCTATATTTTTTAAAATTTCACATCAAAATAAAATTAGACAAATCCATATCTGTCTTCTTCTTCTTCTTTTTTTAAATCTTTTGTACCTTAAAATTAATGACATTCCTATCTTAAATATTAAATCTATATTACCTTAAAAGAATGGACTCTTTAAATTATATGTTACTTCTTCTGTTTCAAAAATAATGATCTCCTTTTCTTTTTAGTTTGTTTAAAAAAGAATGACCGTTTACTTTTTGTGGTAACATTTTAAAATCAGTTTTTCACGTGGCATGTTTAAGGCCACAAGATCAAAGTGCATTTTTATGCCTTTAACGTAACTTAATTTAGGACCGCAACATACAAAATTCTTCTTTATACTCTTGAACTTTCTGTCATGTCAAATTAGGTCACTCTTTGTGAAACCGAAGGAGTAAATTATTATAATATCCTACATTAAAAAACAATCTATATATTTGAATATGAAATGTCATCTTGAAAGGTTGAATTTTTTTTTATGAGTTCTAACTTAACTAAAAGGTTGCGACTCTTTTGATGAGTTGCGACTTTTTCAAAAGGTTGACTTAACCATAACTTATGATTTTTACAAAGAATGTGATTTATAGATGAGTTATGACTTTTTTAAAAGAGATATGATGTTTTCGATAAGTTATGAATTTTTCAAAGAATTGTCACTTTTTCGATCGGTCATGACTTTTCAAATGACGCACAATAAGCACATGTTCATACTACTCTTTGTTGGATATAAATTGAGAGGTCCTTTCATTTTTCACCAACAAAAACTTTCTAATCTTCTTCTTCTTACACTTTAAAAATGTTCATGTTATTTATTGTTGTTGAGTGAGTTTAAAGGTTAGGGGAATATGAGGTACCACAATTTTGATGAATTAAATCTTTCTATCATAAGAGGATATATTGTAGATTCTTGAGCACTTGAGAAAAATAATTTTCGTGATACAATAATTACTTTTTTTTCTTTTTGACGATATATATATATATATATATATATATATATATATATATATATATATAGTTTTCCAATATATGAAGGTAACATGAAGTAATCTAAATTTATTTGTTTTTGTTTAGAATTTGTCATGTGAAGCAGATTACGCTTCTAAATATTTTCTTAAAATCTTTTGAACTTCTCGTGAATAAGAGAATTGTCAAGAGTTTTTTGGTTGATAATCAAGACATAAGAGTAAATTAATTTACAATGTTATTTATGTGATTGTGATTTTAAAAAATGACGCCAGGCTGAAGGGTCTATTAGTTTAATTTTTATTTTCATTTAATTACTAATTTTCATGATAGAAATAGTTTTATTATATGCAAATTTTTATAGATAGATATTTGTGTGTGCGTATTTTTATTTAATTGAAGTATTATATTTGTCATGAAAGTATCATCATGTCAACAAAATCTTCTTAGTTCAAAATATATCACTTTTAGATGTTTTGGTTTCTTCTATTTTTTTCTCCAAAACAAAATTCATAGAAAATACGAAAATATGTAAATCGTTTAAAATTTATCTTTTGCAAAATAAAATTCATATTAAGTAATATTAAATGAACGTGGAATACACAGAAAGTTATGAATTGCAAATTTGGATTACTATTCCCCCTACACTAAATTAAAATCTAATTAACTATCTAAATAAATAATATAATTATTAAGAAGTCCTATTTATTTATTTCAATGCAAAGTTAATAAGAAATTCATCAGCTGCACTTTAATTATTTAGTTATGTAATTATAAATTCTCTTACTTATTATAAATTATTCCAAATGTTATTCACTCCTTTTAGAGATAATGCCCAAGTACCCCCTCAACCTATGCCCGAAATCTCAGAGACACACTTATACTATACTAAGGTCCTATTACCTCCCTGAACTTATTTTATTAATAATTTTTTACCCCTTTTTAGCCTACGTGACACTATTTTGTGGGCCCAACGATGATTGACTTTTTTTTTTCAAACTAGTGCCACTTAGGCTAAAAAGGGGTAGAAAATTACATATAAAATAAGTTCAGGGGGATAATAGAACCTTAGTATAGTATAAGTGTGTCTCTGGGATTTCGGGCATAGGTTGAGGGTGTACTTGTGCATTTTCCCCTCCTTTTTATATTCTTTAGTTATAGCATTATGAATTGTTTTAGTTATTGCATTAATTGTTTCTATCTTCATCTTTCCTTATATATCTTTTTGGTCAATAAGTTTTCATATTGTTATACCACCCATATACTTGATAGCACAACATTGTTATTGACCATTGAACGAATCACACTTGATTATGTAAACTGAAAATTATCTATAATATGAACAATATATTTGTTGAGTGCAAGGTAAACATGTGATTATATATG